CCCGCGGCCACCCCCAGAAGAACTGCCGCAACAAGGACTCAACTTGCCATGGCTTGGTCTCTCCCAGCACCTATGCAACGAACCTTGGGATCTGGTACTAGCTACTGGTACCAGACTGCGGCACTGCGGTTGGGCGTCGCGTTGTCTACGACGATAGCGATGAAGACAACCTGCTCCAACAATTCTGGTGGGACGAGCAGGAACAAGAAAGTCGGGGACTGGCATTTGCTCGTCTCAACTTTTTGAAAGACGCAGAAAGCCATGTAAGTAGCGGGTACTATGACCAGGAGAGCCATCAAGACGAGAACGCGGCTACTGACGGTAGAGGATTTCTTCCTATTCGAATGGCACGAGGCATTTGGAAGCGGATCCGTGGCTCTACTGAAAACCATTAGGTTTAGTGGCGGTAGGTAGCTATGTTGTATACTCAGAGAGAGCATACTGCCCAAAGAACCAAAGGAGAACCGCAAAAGGAGAACCACAATGACGAACCCACACGCTAGCTAGGCCGCAGCCACTCACAGATAGATAGAGCAAGAAAACCATAAAGTTAGACCATGAAGAATTGAAAACTTGCTGATATTGTTATGCTCAGGGCGGGATTGGAACATGTCGCGGGTTGTTCGGTTGTGGGGGGGGTCTCGCGTCCACTGATGAGTTTTGCGAGCAAACCACGATAGCGATACTACGGTACGGTACTGGTATCATTGGTCCGTACCACCTTCACGCAACCAATAAGTTGATGCCATCTTCAACTCTACAAAGAGCTCGCGCCTCGACGGTTATCACCCCCTCTGTTCTATTGCTCGTTAGCCGCCTTGTGCTCTCTGCGCTTACATATATTTTACTAATAGGCTAATCCTCTTATTCTTCTGCTTCATTCGAAAGCCACTTTCGACACTTTCGGTACTGGTACTACTGAATCTTGATTTGGTTGACGGGCTTCATTTCCGCAACCAATGAAGCAACCACTGCTGTTGAGTGAGGAATCCCAACAAACAATCTCCGTCGCCGCAGCAGGTTACCCGTGCTTCTTGCTTATCTGGCAGAATGTGTTCATACACGCCGCAACCCTTCTCGATCCGTATAGTTGGCTGACCTCCATTATTTCCCCCCTTGTATGTGATGCCGTCAACCGTGACCGTCACCTGTGCGGGTTCAATACCACTATCCATCGTGCCTTGTTGCAGCTGTCTTGCTGAATGGGCTCCTGTTGTTTGAGAGGGTACAGGAGTAGAGCTTGCGGGAGCATTGGCCTCAAAAAGGCTGATTCATAGAAAAGAGGGTGAGTTCCGGATCTTGCTTCCCATCACAATGGGATAGAGTCGTCGATTACCCTTGGCACTTACAGGAAGCCCACCAGTACCAGATTGCATAAAAGAGACACTACCAAAGCGATCTTGACAAACGAAAGTCGTGAACGAAACTCCTTCACACTTTGGATGTCCTTTCCAAGACCATAGAGGTCCTTCTTCTCGAGCTTCTCGTGTGCTTCTTCATCGTCGTTAGTGTTGTTTCTACCGGTAGTCATCGTGGGGTGTGGTGGCTTTGGTGTAACCATTGAATTTATGCCTTTGGAAGATACTAGCTAGTACTTCTGTTTATCCGGACCATCGTCAGATGTCGGTTCAGCAAAATTCGCTTCCACCAGGGACCCAATGTCAGTCCCTTGCAAATTGGTTCTCGACTCGAGTCCCTCCACAGCGCTTCAAATTTCGCGGTTGGATTTTTAGCAGCGTTTAGGGTCGGACAGGAGCCTTCTATGCACTATTGGATTGTTTGATGCATGTGCATCGATGATGCCAAGATGTAGTCTAACCCTCTCTCGCCATTGTCTTTCTCCATCTCTGTTGCCGTTCGGGACTTGATTCTCGCTGTTGCTACGTAACGGAATGAGCCCCTCACGGCACCTCCGTCTTTGCTAATCTCATGGACTTCAAGAGAACGCGAAAGATAGGAATAAAATGGAAGTTACGCAGGGAGGTGTAAAAGAACCCGAACTACAGTCGCACTTCATGCCTTCCACAGTCGGGCTTGAACCTACTTGAAATTTTGCCTTCAAACCGTATTAACTTCACATTGGCTTCAGCTGCCCAAAATAGAATGCACCTACTAGTACTCTCAACCAGGCAAAATAACTTGCGTTTATCACTTTTATCAGGTCTATGGCAAACATACAGATAGATTTTGTCTGTTTTTATGGCAAACAGACAGAATCAATCAAGAAGATTGGTACCCTGGCCAACCAACTGGCCAAGACAATTCCGCCAATCAAGAGTCCAATCGTTACAGCCCCAATCCCTATCAAGGCAACATCGATGGCTAACCTGTAAGACCCTGTTTGATCTTGAATCCATTTCATTGCCTTATCTGCTCGAGGAGCAAACAACACCGCCAGGGCCAGCCTGATGGGCTGGAGAGCTTTATCAGCCTTTGCCATGTCGGAACAGAGGACAACAAAAGCACTCCAGTGACCAGGATACAAAGGCGATGATCCATGTTGCACCGAAAAACGATACCACGAAAATGTCACTAGCAAGATGGCACATGCATTGCTCATTGAGAAAAATGCCAGCATTGTATTGAACCCTTTCCAGGTCATCCTCCCACAATAGCTTGAATTCACCATTCCGTTTTTCCGAGCAGTTCCTGTGTTCGTAGGACCCCAAAGCAATGATGAAAAAGTGCGGCGATACTTCATTGCCACAGCAGCTAGATACAGCACAGCCAATATGATCACAGCGATGGAGAGGCGAGACTCTGATGACACTTGTGGGTCAATTGCATGGTAGTCAGAGCTGTTGCAAATGGACATTCAAGAAGATACCAACGACCAAGGTCAAAGAGTTAGAAGATTGCGACTCCATGTTTTCTTGCTCTAGAGTTTCGGAAACTTGCTTACCCTCCGGCATCGTGATATCTCATCATCTTCTCACCTCCGTCAGAGACTTTTTGGATGAATCGATCATAGTAGAAACCAGGAAGCACCATCAGCAATGTTGATTTTGTTGAATTCAATCACTAATTTCAAATTGTGAGCGGAGAGGAAGTGCGAGTGTAATTAGGTCATCACAATTGAGAAACTGGCAGACAGTGGTACGAGAAGAAGGGTCATTTTACTCGCGGCAGTCATTTTTACTCGCGGCAGTCAAATGTTGTGCGTCTCAGTCGATACTCCAGCTTCCAACTTACTCCACTCCTGAATACCAGTTGGAATCTTCTAATCTTCTTGTAGTTGTGGTAAGTAAATCAACGTACATTTATTTGTTTATCAAAAGTTGGTTTTACAGCATCTTCTGATAACCTAAACGTGTCTTACAGGAAAATGCAGATGAAAACGAACAGTCATTTTGGAATCGGCTAAAATCAGCTCCTAATTGATGGAATCAGCATCATCTTTGATCGCTTCAACCAGCAACTTTGGAGTAATTAACCTGGCACGAGCAGTTTGATGTTAAGGATTTAAATGGCAGACTTCCATGTTTAAGTCACAAAAAGCGTGCACAGTCATTGTCATAAGACAACAAATTAGTATGCCAACATAAACCTCGATTTCATAAGTACCACAATAGCCCAAGCGCCCAAGCACTGAAGATTCCCAAGGGGGATGAAAAAGTCAGGTAAGCCCCCCCCCCCGACGCCAACAAAGAGCACGTCCCTCCTCGATGGGATGCGGTAGTTCGCATAACAGAACATAAAAGGCTTGGTACAGAAAGTACAGTGGGACTGCTGTACCGCCACCCGCCCAACCGTACACTACCGCTGTAGAGCCCCTGTAGAGCCTCTGTAGAGGATTAGCCAATCAGAATCGTTCGATCTTTAGATTCGATGACGTCAGTAGCTGACGTCAGTCAGTCGTGCACACGATTCGATTCAATATTTCGCATCGATCTCCATGGGTGTCAGCTCGATCAGTCTCTCGTCGTGTTATTAGCATGTGTTTTCGAAAGACGGACGGAGCATGCATCCAGAGGTTTGAGTTTGACATTGAGCGAGATAGTGAAGCAAGACAATAAAACCGAGGTCATCCCGTCCGTATTCAGTAGCCGCAGAGGTACTTCGCAGAGGTGTACTTACCGCATTCAGTAGCCGCAGATTCAGTAGCCGCAGAGGTACTTCGCAGAGGTACTCACCGCAGCGGAGGATATAGCCGCTTTCACCGAAGACGATGAGTGCGAGTACGAAAGAGGCGCCGGCTGGTATCGACCACTACATCCGGGACCTGTACTCCAGTGGACGGTTCCCCAAGGTGGACGACAACGGCATGGTGTTCTTGGCGGCTGTTGGCAAAATACACGGACAATGTTGCCGTGCTCGCTGCTGAATCATTCGATCGAATGCACTTCAACATGATGCGGCAGGGCAACGCTGGTCTCAGGGGTAGGCTGAGGCCTCAGCATGCCAAAGCTTTGCTCAGAGACAAGGGTCAGCTTGTTCAGATGGCCAGGATCAATGAACATGCCACTGGCAAGAGAAAGGCTGCTCCAAAGCAAGGTGATCTGACCAAAGCCAAGCTGTTGGACCCACTCACAAGCTTCGCAGACATGAAGGGTTGGGCCAGGGTCCTGGGAAAGCCCATCCCAAAGACAAAGCCGAAGATGCAGGAGACTCTGCTGCAGTGCTTTGAGGGCAAGCCAGAAGACCATGTGTTCCACTCCCACTAGCTAGCTAGCTTGGTGGTTGGGCTCCAAGGGGCCCAATCTTTATGGTTCAGAGCCCCCTGCGGGGGCTCAACCTTTATAAATTTCGGGATGGGCTAGCTAGCTAGCTAGTATACGGAACCCATCACGAGGATTGAGCACATGAGAAGAATTGGGCAACATGCAGAGCTGACAGGTTGCCGTTGGTACCACCATGACCGTGTCAAGTATTCAGAGAAACGAAGATGTTACTGGTTCAAGCAGCTCTGCGGCTTTGAATAACCATTATTTACTCACGGTAAGAGGCCGTGTGCCACCGAATTATACCGGTTCCGGTCACGGATAAGAGAACATGAACCGCGTTCTTATTGAACTCCCCTTAACTGTCTTTTCTACTGTTTGTTGCGAAGAACACTCGTTCTTAATTCTTCCATACACGTGGTATAGTACATCATGAGTTCTTCAAGTCACTCAGGAGGGGCTCCGGTAATCCCCAGATGACGTCACCATAAACCCCAAAGTGTTTGGCGAGTCGCGAGAAGTCGCGAATAGTCGCTTAGAAGAGTCGAGCGATTCGACGCGGATTACCGAACGAGTCTTCACGATTCCACGCGACTCCTCGCGACTCCTCGCGACTCACTTCTTAAGTACTTGTATTTATTCCGATATGGTGTCGCGACTCCACGCGACTCCACGCGTTTGTACGCGACTTTATACGCGTTTGCGCGCGACTGCTCGCGATTGCACACGACTGTGGTCGCCACTGCACCCGCGCGACTGCTATTCGGGGTGGGATCGCCAAAAGGCCCGTAAACCGGAGGCCCTCCTGGTTCAATAGCTCTCTGGTTCGCCTCTCGTCCTCTCACCCCACCTTGCTTTATTTCCTGTGTATTCTTCCATCGAGCCAGTGGTACATCAAGAGATCAAGAGTTCTTCAAGTTGCCACTCTGGTTTCTGGTTCGCCCCACGCACCTCTGCTGTGCCACAGTTTGTTTTCAAATCAACGAAATTGTGAAATTGCGTTCTGATACCCTCCATGCAATTGACCATGTCCTCAAGCAAGGACGACCACTGCAACTCCAAGCAGACGATGAGCAATGAGCTCTCTGGTACTGACGCGGCTACAACTCCAGGCCCACCATCCTCCAAGGCAGGATCGGCAAGGAGAAATAAAAGCAAGACGAGCAGTACGGGATCTGCTATTCCGCCCGAAGTGCTGGAAAAGATTGTCCAATGTCATGTCAGCCACTACAGCAACAAGAGAGGGGACAGCATGGAAGAGCAGCAACATGACTTGGTTTCTTCCCAACATGACGAGAAGCATCACTATCGAGCACGGCCCTCCGTCGAACGCAATGCGGCCGAGCACATTATGCTGCCCGGGGCCGTCCGCGTGATGGGCTTGGAAGGCCACGAAAGCGAGGAATTGAGAGAGGCACCCTTGAACGAATCGCCCCAAGAGGAAAACACAGCCTCTGCTGCAAGTTCTCAAATTACGCTGGGCAGCAGCAGCAGCAGCAGTGACAGTGACGAAGCAGAAGTAGACAACACCCACCATGATCCCGAAGAAGGCAACACCCACAACGACCCCGAACCGGCCTGGGTCGCCGAAGCCAATCGGCTCTTGGCGTTGCACGGAGACAACTACGAGGACGACGATGTGTCTCACATGTCCATCAACTCCCATGGAACCGAAATCACGGCGGTGCGAGTGGACGAATCGAAAGTCGAAGAAGAAATTCGCAACAGAATCATTGACGAGGCCGTCGAGGCTGTCGTTGTGGTCGAAGACAAGGACCACAATAACACAACCCGGTGGGCTCTCGTTGGTCTCTGCGGCGTGCTCATTGTGGCGGTGGTGGTGGCCGTTGCTGTTGTTTTGGCCAGCAATCAAACGAATGACGCCGTGACTGCGGTGTCCGAAGAAGAGGTCAAGGACACTCGCCCAACCATGGAACAGGTCCGAGAACGAGGCTATGTCCGTTGCAACACGTGGGGGACCTGGGCACTGAGTTTCCCCAATCCAGAGACGGGAAAGCATGAAGGTCTCAATGTGGATTATTGCCGCGCGATTGCGGTTGCCGTGTTTGGAGATCCCGATCGGTATGAAATTGTCTCGGATCAAGTGGAGGACAGCTTTGTCATGCTGGCCAATGGCCAAGTCGATGTCGTTACGTCGGCCTTTACGCACAACATGGCACGAGATGTGTTTGAGGCAACGTCGCAGACCCCACTGACCTTTTCGACGCCCTACTTTTACTCCGGTGTCGCGTTTGCGGGCATTCCCACCTTTGTGGATTGTGCCGACAATCTCGATAGTCTCTTTGGCGTCTGTCGGGATTTGACCATTTGTGTCTTGATTGGAACGACACATATCGGGCATCTCGAAGAACTCTTGCCGGGAGCCGATGTCGTTCTCGTGGAATCGTTGGATGATGAAGTGGCCAGTTTGAAGGAGGGAATTTGCAATGTGATTGCCAGCGAGCCAGTCTTTCTCCCAGAAGTAGCCTTTCGAGAGTTGGGATACGATGGACCCTTCCAAATAGGACAACATGTCTTTTCACGAGAACCACTCGCCGTGCAAACTCGAAGCGATGATCACGAATGGTCCAACTTTGTCAACCTGATTGTTCAAGTCTTTTTCCTTGCCGAGGCACACAACATTACCAAGTCCAATGCCGACCAGCTCAAGCCATTGTTTGGAGACGACAAGGACGTGGCTGATAAGATGGTGGCCGTCGTGCAAGAGTTTGGCAACTATGCCGATCTTTACAAAGCGCATGTTGAACAAGTGCTGCCCCGAGCTGGACTGAACCAACTATACAATCCACAAACCGATCATTCGGGGTTGATGTACTCGCACCCTTTTGGGAAGAGTGCCCTGCAAGAAGAAGGCCCTGGCATTCAACCGGATGGCAGCATTGACAAGATTCTGACACGTGGACACTTGCTATGTGGCGTAGAATCCCGACCCGGTTTTGCCTTTGTGGGAGAGGACGGTCAGTGGCGAGGTTTTGATGTCGAATTTTGCCGAGCCATTGCAGCCGCTCTTTTTGAACACGTTACCAAACATGATGTCGTGTTTGTAGAGCCAGGTGCAGAACAAACCATGTACTCGCTCCTTGCAGAAGAGCAAGTGGATGTCTTTGCAGGAGCACCGGTGACGCTTCAAGCCGACTACATGGAGCCGACAACGGGACGACGATTTGCGTTCTCTCCGCCGTACTACTATGACAATGAGAATGACGCCAAGGCGTTTGCCATGATGACCCTGGAGCATTTGGACGGTCAATTGAGTGACTTTGTGTACTGGTAGGTTGGCATGTTTGCCTGGTTTGTTCACGGGGAAACTGGATTCAAGTTGGATGGCTGCACTTTACCATTGCACTAAAAATACAAACAACTATGGATCTCACCTGCCTTCCTCTCTTGCTTGCTTCGTCCATGAAAGGATCGTCATGGCTTTGATCTACGCCGAGGAACATGGCATTGAACCCAGAACATCATTTGAAATGCCCGTGGCAAGGTTGTTTGGCGATGGCCTGAAGCAAATGCTGCGGGATTGCGTCTTGGCCGTTGGCTCGTACGCACACATTTACAATCGGACCTTGGAAAGCACCATCCCTCGATCCGGTGCCAACCAATTGAATCATGACAGTGCACCCGGTCCACAGCAGTACGCAATTCCTTACAGATGATGATGAGCACGATGTCTGCTCTTCGTGGGGATGTGAGTGCGGTGCCTTGGAGATTTACGATTCGATTGCATCGAGTAGTCTAGACCTGGTGATCCTTCTAAGTCGATTCGAGCATTATAAGCTTTTAGTGAAGGTTTTGGAATGTGTAGACAGCAAGGGATTGCCTGGAACGCGCCGAACACAGCCATTCTGGCTCGCTGTTTACCAACACTGGACCTACTCCACGCTAAGTTGCCTGCTTCCACCCGAGAATTCCAAATGCAACAGTTAGCTAGCTGGCATGAGTAACTAGCTACTAGACTTATTAATCTGCATCTTGGGGTCGTCTTAGAAGGCTGAAAGGTTCAATCAAAAGTTCTCGTCGACTTGAGATCTTGAGATTCGACGAAGGGCAAACAGGCCTTTTTCGTATTCGCTTTGAGTACCGGATTGGATTTAATAAGTCTGTCTGGATGTTCGACCGTTCGACCCCAAGCCGAGTGACGAGTGCAGTCGTGCAGCGCAGTTTCATCGTCTCATCTCATCTCATCTCATCAGCTCATCAGCAAAAAGTGAATGCCTCCGTCGATCTGTCGGGCTGAATAACATGCACCATCGTCGAAGAAGAATGATGCAACGACCCAACATGAGCAATAATACCAATGGCACCAAGTATTCTCCGTTATCCGTAGAGCCATCCTCGGAATTGGATTTGGAGTCGGGGTCCAATAATAATGATACTAGTCGTCACTCCCCTGAGCAGCAAGGTCAATCGCAGTTATCCGCTACCATCAACTTGTCCAAGTGCATTTGTGGAGCTGGATCCTTTGCTCTGCCTCATGTCTTTTTGGAAGAAGGCGTGTTGGGAGGAACTCTGGCACTCACATTATGTGGTGGCCTGGCGGCCTACACCATGGCGAGTCTGGCACGCTCCAAGTGGCAATGCCACGGTGTGTCGTCGAGTAGTTATGTGGAACTGGCAGAAGCTGCCTTGGGCAAGAGAGCGGGACAAACCGTCTTTGTACTCACATTGAGTGCTTCCATGGGAGTGTGTAGTACCTACTTGGTCTTTATTGGAGAGACATTAGAGTCACTATCGTGTGATAATACTCAATCCAATAAGAATCTGATACGGACGTTTCTACCGGACATTCCAGCATCGACGTGGGAAGTGGGCACGGCCTTGTTGGTCTTTCCACTGTGTCTGCTACGATCGTATCGTGTGTTTGCATTCACCAGTGCGTTGGGAGTTGGTGCCGTCATGGGGGGGATCTTGGTGACACTGGCATCGGGGATATGGGTCGAGCCGGGTATTGGCGTGGCGCTGGAACAGATCTGGGACATGCCACTGTGGCCCGATTCTCTCGCCAAAGCATTTGGGTCTTCCTTTGGCACGATTGCCTATCTCTTCTGTATCAACTTTTTAACCTTTCCCATTCTCAATAGCATGGCCAATCCAAAGGAAGAATACGCAAGTGCTGTCAATACGGCCGTGGCCGGAGTCTGGCTGGTAAATGTCGTCTTTGCCATTCTCTGTTTGGGATTCTATGGTCACAATACCCAAGATTTGGTTCTGGGAAATCTCAGCAATGGACCATACCTATCGGCATTGAAGCTCTTGCTCTGTGTAGACTTGCTCTTTACTTTCCCTATCGTCTTTTTGGGAGGACGGCAAATCTTGGAGGCGGCACTCTTGCCCCCCAGCCACAACTGGCGGACTGCCATGGTCGCTACCGCCGTGGCGTGCTGCTGGGGACTCACCAAGATTGGAGGATTTGGGACTGTTGCCAATTTGGTGGGAGGAGTGGCACAGGGCACATTGGCGTTTATCATGCCACCCGCCATTGCCGTGGCTCTGGCGCGGCGCAATGGAGAGCAAGGAGGAGAAGCCGCGCATTGGGTAGTGGGTATTTTTGGGGTCGTGGTCGTCTCCTCTGTCACCTACTTTACAGCGTTCCCATGAGACCGCAGTACGGGACCAAAGTCAGTGGTCGGTCCCAACCAACCAGTATGCCAGGAGCTGCAAAACCCTGAGGTTTCCCAGCCAAGGTGATCCAACAGCTGTCAGTGTTTGAATCTGTTTTTGATGGACTTTTTCCTATCGGTATATCCGACTGCCCTCTGGTATTGTGGCAAGAGGGAGGTGACATTTGTGGGTTATGGGTTCACATGTTTCTTTTTTTTAATACAAGGTTTTTTAAAATAGGTCCTTCTAGACCCAAGTAATTTGTACATGTAGTGAAGACGAAAGAGTTGAAATTGTGAGATAGAGTGGTGCAGTTACAGCCAGTTGGGGGGTTGGAAGGTAGCCTTTTAGTAGCATTGGTTCTTCGAAGGCAGTGGCTCAAAACACTGGCCTTCTTGTTAGGTTTCGAGGTCGTTGGGAGCTTGAGTTGCGGATCCACCTCACTGTGGTTCTTTGTTCCGCAACCTTGCCAAGGATGCACAAGCAATGTCACCGTACCATGTGCAACGCATGTGAAGCTCTGGCTCAAGTGGATCTTCCGAGTTTCTTTCCAGCAGAGTCGAGTCAGTCCATTCGCACTAGCTACGGTAGCTCAAGTAAGTTGTCAACAAATCAATGAAGCACCAAGAAGCAATCAAAGCTTGAGATGCTGATGTCTAGATGTCCTGTGAAGCCTAAACTAAGGCTGAACTAACTACTGGTGTTGCGCTTGCAAATTGGCCACACTGATGAGGAAGGCAACGCATCATCTAACAGTGACGAGCTGGGGCAAATCCTAGCTACACCGGGGTTGAGTTTTAGCATACTAGCAATCGCTTCTTCCGCTGCTGGCAAGGAGCTTGGCAAGGATACCGGTACTGCTGGCAGTCAAAGGATGGTGAAGATCTGGATGGATCACCCAGCCATCATCTTGCTCTCGCAGGCATGAAGAACAAAATGGATCACAATATTGGGCCGCAACTGCTCGTATTTAGCATTTTGAGGCTTAGTTGTCTCTTTACTTCAATCTGAAGGAGTTCGTGCAAAGAAACTCAATTCTTTAAATATTTAACACATTGCTTGAAGTGGGTGAAAACTGACTTACTCTTTGTGTTAGATCCTATTCCAGCCAAGAGAATGCAATCGTAAATACTGAAAGCTATTGATTAATCTACCGTACTGTGTACTACGGCTAGTACGGTAGCCAATCAGGACCAAGTAGCTTTTTTACCCTAGGAGGAGTTCGTTATGCTCAAATAGATGCTACCGGTAATACCCGGTTGAAGATCTCGATTCGGTTTTACGATCAGCTTTCTGTTCGAAAATGTTTCAGGTTTAAGAGGCAAGATCCCAAACGTCAGGAAATTGCATGAAGGAGCTATCAAGGAGTTATCAGAAATGTTTTTACAGGATTGCCCTAAGAGCTGCCTTAGGTGTCCTTGGAGTCCACTTGTCCCAAGAACAGTTCGACAAGTTGAAGATAGAAAACCCAAGTTGAAGCAAAACTGAGAAAACAGCTCCTCACAATTCAATTTCGAGCAAGAAGAAATAAGACGTCCTTTGGAGGAAGCAACGGGCATCACCTGATAGCTCACCTGATCACCTGATACCTCCTGCAGCCGTTCTGGCAATTCCTCGAGTTCGCTATCGACCGACAGTTTTCTTTTGCAGGCTCCTGGCGAGAAATTGGGTTAACCACTATTTTTCAATTGCTATCTGGTAAAGCACCTCCAGTTCAATTTGTAAGGGTACCTTCACTTTTTTGCATTCGAGAGACTTTTGTCTCCGTCGCATCAATCTTTCCGACAATGAACAAACCTAGCGACGCCGGTAGCCCTCAGGATGGATCCAACACTGGTAGCAGAGTGCTGGACTCTATCAATGTAAGAGTGACGAGCACTGAAGGGAGTCAAGGACAATCAGCCTCCAAGAGTGGTGCAATGACATTATCCTCCGCATCAATGAGTGCCACAGGGGGTATCTCAAGTTCCTACATTATGTCCTTCACGGTAGAGAACCAACACACACGCTTCCTATCCAGCCTTTCCTTGCTCAATGATTCCCAGATTGCGTTAATGCTTCAATCGGATACCCTCGAGTTCTGCAGGAAACTTCAGGAGTCACTATCCCAGCACCTACTTCACCCGAACTCACTGGCTAGCCGTTTCTGTTCTCACGGGCAACCGCAGCCAATATTATCTTCAAGTCCTCGCTTGTGTGCTCAGAATGGCCAAGGTAAAGATGAGAGCCACATGGCCTGGCAGGAGAAGATGACACGAGTTCCCGCAAAGCTGCTCTTTGCCAAGCCTTCGTGGGGTTAGCCACGTTCTGCGAAGAACGACAAATCATGGTGGAGCAACAGCATCGCAAGACATATGTGCAAATCCTGAAGGAACTGGCCAAACTCCATGCCCGCCAAGGAGAGGCCATACAAGCCCGACAAATGTTGGAAACGGCAGTACTGACCGAGTCCACCTTTTGCCCCAAGACATCAGAGCAAAAGTTGTCCCTGGCAACTATCCGGAATGACTTGGCGCTGCTCTGCATGGAACTCCAAGACATGGATGCGGCACTGCAGCACTATCAAACAGCTCTGAACCTGCAGCGAGAAGCCTCCAAGACGAGCCTGGACACCCCGCAATCATTATGACACTCCAAAGCATGGCACAGCTCTACATACGATGCGGCATGCACGACGAGGCCCTCAAGACGTATCACTACATTCTCATACTGCTGCAGCAACAAGACAGCAGTGCGAAACGGACCGAAATGGCTGCCACTCTCTCGTCCATGGGGTTGGTCTACTATGCTCTGCGAGACTACTCGTCGGCACTGCAGCACTATAAGCAAGTACTGACCATCCAGAGTCATTTGCAGCATGACAATGATGACACTGGTGTGCATCGGCACTTTGAGATTGCCACAACCTTGAATTCGATTGGATGATTCTCTGTGAAGTTGGAAGCTACGATGAAGCACGAGATACTCTGCAGGCCAGTCTGGCCAAGCATTTGGAATTGTTTCGTGCGGCCAAGACGCTCTTCTTGGACCACCAGAACGAAACATCACTGCATCGACACAACGGCGCCATTTCGGCAGTCCTGTACAACTTGGCAGTGGTGTACATTCAAAGAGGCGAAGATGAGATTGCTTTGCAACTGTTTCAAAAGT